AGAACTTCTATTTCACAATGGATGATTTCAACATATTTTCCGTTTATGATATTGTGTGCTTCTCTTGAAATACAACTTCTTTCTTTTTCTCTTATGGGTGAGCTCTTTAGAATTCTGAAGTCTATATACATTTTTTAATAAATGACCGTATTTATTAATTATTTCTGGATTCGCCTTGGGTTACTAACATGTTTATTATTTTTCATTATGATTGACACATAATTAATTTCTACATATATTATGGTATATAATCACAATTCACTGATTATTACATTGCAGTATGCCTCTTTTGCCTGGGTATATTATTGGAAGAAGTATTTAGAAGAATATTTTATTATCCTTGAATGTTATTTTAATATTGTAGACAACAAGTATTCAGGAATTGACCTTTTTTTTTTTAAAGATTTTATTTATTTGAGAGAGAGATTGCAGAGCAAGAGAGAGCATGAGCAGGGGGAGGTGTAGAGGGAGAAGGAGAAGCAGGCTCTCCACTGAGCAGGGAGCCCAGTGCGGGCACTCGATCCCCAGGACCCTGGGATCATGACCTGAGCCAAAGGCAGACGCTTAACCGACTGAGCCACCCAGTCGCCCCTCAAGAATTGACTTTAATATATATATTTTTTTTTTTCAAGTATGATTCACCTCTATCCCTCCTATGAGGTTTTTAGGTTTTGGGGTGCCTATGGAAAATTCCTGTCTTTCAGGGCACTGGAACTTTTGATCACAGCATTTAAATAGGCTTACCTGAAAATAATTTGAACTACATGTTTTTTTGTGTTTCTAAACATTTGCACACCATGGTTGAGAAGCTTGATAACTCTGTTAATTATGAATTCTACTTTTGGTATAATACTTTTTCTTTTATTTTCTTTTTTAATCTTTTATTTATTTGAGAGGGAGAGGGAGAAGCAGGCCCCCCACTGAGCAGGGAGTCCGACGCGGGGCTTGATCCCAGGATGCTGGGATCATGACCGGAGCTGAAGGCAGACGCCTAATGACTCAGCCACCCAGGTGCCCCTGGTGTAATACTTTTTCATATAAAATATCCATCTTTATAAACTCTGGTTAATATGAAGCCTGTCTTTATTTATATATTACAGATATCTCTACTAGATGTATGAGCAAAGAATTACCACCAAAAGACAACATTAATAATGGAGAATTATTCCAAACGTTGGTTTTGGAAAGACACGTAAGTCATGACTTTGATGACTTTGGTTTGAGGGAAGTCCAGCAAGATGTGAACAAATTTGAGACTCAGTGGCTATATGAAGAAAAAAATTACAAAGGAATGACTACATCCCATTATAAAAATCTCACTTGTAGAGAAGACCAACAACATCACAAATTCTGGAATAATTTCCCTGTAAAGCATAGTGTTTCCATAAGAAATAGTAAATCTCAGTATTATAAACATGATATGAATAAGACACTAAAAAACAAGGTAGGCTCTTCAGGAAACAAGTATAGGAACTGTTTGGACAGTGGGCTTGGATTAAGCTTTCATTCACATCTGGCTGAACTGCAAAGATTTCAAACCCAAGAGGAAATTCATGAAAGTAATCAAGTTGAGAAGTCTACCAAAAAGACTTCAGTTTCACTTCAAAAAATTCCTTCTAGTGTCAAAACCAACATTTTTAACAAATATGGGAAGGTTCTTACACATTCTTCATTACAGACACAACACCAAAAAACACCCAAAAGAGAAAAACCTTACAAATGTAAAGAGTGTGGGAAGACTTTTAGCCATTGCTCAACCTTAGCTACTCATCAAAGAATTCATTCTGAGCAGAAACCTTACAAATGTAATGAGTGTGGCAAAGTCTTTAACAGGTTCTCAAACCTCACAAGGCATCAGAGAATCCATACTGGAGAGAAACCATATAAATGTAATGTATGTGGTAAGGATTTTATGATACGTTCACACCTTTGGGGACATGAGCGAATTCATACTGGAGAGAAGCCTTACAAATGTAATGTGTGTGGCAAAGCCTTTTCTGAGTGTTCAAATCTTGTTCAACATAAAAGAATCCATTCTGGAGAGAAACCTTATAAATGTAATCAGTGTGGTAAGGAATTTATCACCCGTTCACACCTTTGGGGTCATGAGAGAACTCACACTGGAGAGAAACCTTACAAGTGTAATGAGTGTGGAAAGGCCTTCTCCGGGAGTTCAAATCTTACTCAACATAAGAGAATTCATGCTGGAGAGAAACCATATAAATGTAATGTATGTGACAAGGCCTTTAGTCAGAATTCAAGCCTTACAGTTCATCAGAGAATTCATACTGGGGAGAAGCCTTACAGATGTCATGAATGTGGGAAAGCCTTTAAGCAGTATTCAAGCCTGAGTAGACACCAGAATATACACAGAATGAAGATAAAGATGTAGAACCTGTGGTAAGGCTTTTATTAAATGTTCTCACATTTGGAGTCATGAGGGAATGCATACTGCAAAGAAACTTTACAAAAGAATGGCATGGCCTTCGTGCCATGACTTGACCTCAGGAATCACCAAAGATTTCATGTTGGGGAAAACCCTATAAACACAACATGTGGTAAATTGCTTAAGTAGGTGGTACAATGTACTGTGCATGAGAAAATTCTTACTAGTGAGAACTAAATCTAGTTCTTGAAGATTAATCAAATCAAATGTTAGATTCTGCCCGAAAATTAAAAGTCAAAATGATTGAAAATTCCTGAGACAATGGGTATCAAAGGAGCAGGGGCATCTGTGGAAATGCCCACGTATCTTCAGTTTATACAGTCATTTTATTCATTTAGATTGCGTGATGAGGTTTATTTACTTTATTATTGAATTTGGACCTGTAGTTGGAAATCTGTTAATGATGTTATGTCTCCATCACAGACTTTCCATGTGTTGCCACAGTGATGTCTGTGATGGAACTTCTTGTTTTGGTCCTGATGTGAATGGTGTTTTTTTTTTTAAATTTTCAAGTCACTTGTTTCTTGCTGATATCTAGGAAAGATAGTTAACTTTTGTATTATGACCTTGTATCTTGCAGTCTTGGTATAATTGCACATTAGCATTTTCTCTACCATACCTGTGGCGCATCATATGAGATATTTCCGAAGTTCTGGTGATAGGTGCCACTCTGTCTTGTTCCTGGCATAAAAACACAGGACTCTCTCTTACTGTACTAATATTAAGCAAATCTTGCAGTCATTAAGTTCACCTTGGTCATGGTGCAAATTCTGGATGTATTGTGTTGCAATCAGAGTATCCGGTTTATTAAGGTCTTGGAAGCTTCATGCATCATTGGTATTGGCATATAAAAAAAAATCTTTGCACATAAATGGAAACTGGTCCCAGCCAAAATTATAAATAATATGCCACTAATCTAAAATATGAGTACAAGTTATGAAAACACCCAAGTGTAGAGCTAGATTATTATAAGAACATAGCCATCCAGCTTTTTCAGTATACCATAATGGTTAAATCATGTGCTTTGATACCTCCCCCAGTAACTTTTAAGTCCCCAGTCTGCTGCTAAACAAGGAGTGAAGATAGTGAAATCACTCAACCCTGTGTGCCTAAGTTCTCCTCCTTAGAATGAAACTAGTAGTAGTCCCATCCCTGATTTTTGATGAATGAAGACTTCAAGTGCCTTGACAGCAGAGATTCTTACGTTGTGAGCGTTCTTTAGAATTCCCCATTCAACTCTTAGAAGGCTTTTAATGAAGCTAAAATTAAATATTTTTTTCTTAAAGATTTTATTTATTTTTGATAGGGGGAGAGCACGAGAGAGCGGGGAGGAGCAGCGGTAGAGGGAGAAGCAGACTCCCTGCTGAGCAGGGAGCCTGACGTGGAGCTCAGTCCTGGGCCCCATGATCATAACCTGAGCTGAAGGCAGATGCTTAGCCCAGTGAACCACCTAGGCGCCCCTGAAGTAAATATGTCTTAATGGGAAGTAAGCCTATGTGAAGAATATTGGTTTACACTTGAAATGGTAAATGTAGGCGAGACTTCAGGTTCCCATGCAGCATCCCCCAAAGGAAAAGCGTCACTCGTTGTGAACCATCAGATGGCCTCCAGGTTTTTGACAGTAGGAATGGTCTTCTTACCACAGGTGCTGATTAGAATCCTGGGGAATTTCTTCTTTCTTTACCAGTATATCTTCCTTTTTGTCATAGGTGAAGGTTAAGATCCACAGATTTGAGTGTCAAGCACCTGTTTGTAGCCAGCTCCTTAGTCATCATCTTTACAGGAATCTCCAGCACAGTGACAGCTTTTGGGTAGGAACATTTCGCTGATTGTGGATGTAAATTTGTTTGCTGGGTCATAGAGTGATACTGTGCTATGTTATGTAACATGTAACTATCTGAGGAACCTGGGTGAAGGGGTGAAGTTTACAAGGACTTTTTCATACAGTCTTTGCACATTTTGTGTATCTGTAATTACTTTAAAATAAAGAGTAACGAAAGGCAACATGATATGCTGTGGCTTTTAGAAAGTTCAGGGGCAGCTCTTTGTTCATATGAGAATAAAGGACATTATAGGTACATCCAGAAGTCATTCTTAAAACTTAGATTCTGAAAACTTGTCACCTCCTTGGTAATTTTCCAGAACACCGTAAATGAGATATGCCTCCACCCCACATAACGTGCGGCTTACTCTGCTTCTAAGAACTGAATCAGCAGCACAGGAGTAGAACCAAAGGATTGGATGTTCAAAGTGTTTGCTTTATTCTGCATTGGTGGATACTTTGTTCTGGAACCACCTCTAATCTTGCATGAAGTGGGCAGAGGGTCTGAGGAAAGGGGAAGATGAGTCCGGAAGTACCACTGAAATTCCCTTATTGTCTGAATGAACGAAGCTTCCATCTTTCCCTTAAGAACAGGGTCAGAAACTCCTCATTCGGGACAGAGGTTCTCAAGACGCAATAGAAGAGGCAGAGCTACACAAGGAGAGGTCCTGCCTTGGGGAGGGAAGCTGCCCTCACACAAGACAACCAGTTTTGTGTAGGTCTCTGATATCATGATTGTGCACACAAGCTCTCTGAGCAGGGTCTGTGCAGTCCCTGTGCTTCTAGGAGAATACAGTGGAGTACTGGTGAACGTCACAGTCCCTGAAATGAAATACGCACACACATACACATACATTTCCTAAAGTGGCAATGGGAAGATTCTTTTGTTTTCCCATATTATGAGACAAGAATAGGAGTATAAGGATTGGTTCTGGCGTAGTGTGAGGATTATTACTTGAGTTTGGTGGCAGAACTTCTAGATCCTGACTTTGGAGAAGTTTCAGATTGCTCCTTCAGGGTGGTGCCTTCCCCGTAAGGCTCAGTTGCACATTGTGTGGGGACCTTTCTGTAAAATCATATGATTGATGGAAGGCATTGTACATGCATGTGCCTTCCTATACTAGTTACAGGTCATGTGATACAGTATCCTAATTCGGGTGCTTCTCCATTTCATCTTGAGAGCATACCACCCCAAAAGCTATTCTCAGTCACCCACCTCATCCCTCTGCATTCTGCCTTCACCCCTGTAACCTAATCTCCTGTTGTCCTAACCTGGAGGGTTTGCCTGAGGATAAAAGTGAGGTCACATGTCACCTGCGATTTCTTAGACACAGCTGACTAATCTCTTTTCCTCACATGACCAGTGCACTCCCAGGACTGCAGTAGAGTCTGGGGTTGGTATAGGAGAGAGAATTCACAGGGAATGTTAGAAGAAAGAAAGCTTTAGGATAGAGATTAGAGGGTTTTTTAAACAGATGAGGGCCTCCCACATGTGTCAGCCTACAGAAGACCCACAGTGGTACCATGCAGTGGCAGTTACAAAACAGCTTTGGTGCACCTGGCTGGCCTGGTAGAGCACATGAGTCCTGATCTCAGGGTTGTGAGTTTGAGCCCCACGTTGACTGCAGAGTTTACTTTAAAAAAAAAAAAAAAAAATGAAAGTTTAAAAACGAAAATACAGGCTTGATCAACAGCTTGAATATAGTCCATTTCTTTAGTGAACAGGTGTTCGCCCACCATGGCTTCTGAATGAGTGAACACAGATGATTATGTCAGCACCAATGATTTGTTTCTGCATCTTACACAAAGATTGGTGCCCTTAATCTCAGTTCTGTAGTTTTTCAAGTGGCAGGTCCAATAACTCCAGCTTGGGCGATAGCCCAAGATCCTGGATTCTGACCACTGAGTAAAACAACCACATCAGCTCTCGTTTCTGCATGTCCAACAGAGAGGCTAAACATCCAGCCCAGTGAATCCATGAGGTTTCAGCTTTGGTGAACCATCAGTGGACCAGTGTCAGACAACGAGGGGAATCTGGGATCGCTGAGGTCCTCACGGTGCCAGGGGCTCTGCTGCAGGCTGCAGATATGACACATTCCTGTAGAGCTGAGATGTTACTGATGCCAGTCAGGATTCACCCTTAAATATACCTTCTCCATTTGACCAGCAAGTCTTTTAGGACCTCTCTGCATTGTTGGCTGTAGGGTTCAAGTTGCCTCATCAACATGGGAATGTTACACCAGACAGTCACAAGTCCTGAATGGATCATGCTTCACTTTTGACAAATGTTTGGTAGCAAGCTAATGGCTGCTTTTCGAAAGCAATTTACCTGTTGGTTATGTCAAACCTGAGTTCTGGGGCGCTTGGGTAGCTCAGTTGGTTAAGCATCTGCCTTCGGCTCAGGTCATGATCTCAGGGTCCTGAGATTGAACCCCTGCATCGCCTCGGGCTTCCTATTCAGCAGGGAGTCTGCTTCTCCCTCTCCCTCTGCCCCTCCCCCTTGCTCGTGCTCTCTCTCTTTCAAATAAATAAAATCTTTAAAAACAAACAAACCTGAGTCCAAACCCCAAGGGAGCCTTCCAGATGGAGACTGCTCGCCTTTGTCAGAGACTCCAAATGGTGGAATCTGGCACAGTTTTGCATTGTCTCTGATACTCCAGAAGTCTTTTAAAGGGCTGGGCCTTTTTGGGTTTTTTTGATGGTGGTTGTGGGCAAGATACAACAGTGTATTTTTCTTTATTGCTAGAATGAGCAGTGCACATTGCCCATATAATTCCAGTAAACTGTAATTGGAAAAGGACTCTGAATTTGTTACATTTTATCAGCTTTACCTACTGGCAGAGAAGGAATGTCCTAGACAGGGCTTTTGAGACTAATGTCTGTAACTTTCCAACAAACAATTCATCCACGTAGGGAAACACAGCAGAGGGTTAAGATAAATGTAGTGTATTCTCACCCATACACTGAAAGGAAATGCCTGGGGAGTTTGCTTCACTAACACTGTTCTCCCTTCAGCCTACCCTGAAGAATGTGGATAAATATGGAATCTCATACAAATGGTGATGGTTGTGAAAATTGTGTAAAACATTTTGAAAAGTACTGGAAGTATGAATGAAAGCTGAACAGATGCAAGCCTATGACCATGAAATTTACTATTCCAACAGAAATTTGTGCATGTGTCACCAAAGCACAAATTCTAGAATTTACGTAGCAGAGCTATTCATAATAGCCCCAAACTGAAAACCACCCACATGTGCATCAGGAGTGGAAAGGTTAAAGTAATTGTTAGCTATTTATACAATGGAATTCTATTAAATGTTAAGAGTCCACACAATGGAACTAATGCTAGTAAATGACTTACAACATGTGTTAATAGGAATGAGTTCATGAAATCATTTGGAATGTGAAGCCAAATACAGAAGATTCTATTCTGTATGGGTCCATTTCTATAAAGTGCCACACAGGCACTTTGAAAAGTGATCTGTGCTGTTAAATGTCACATTACTGTTTACTGTGGTGGATAGTAACTGGGAGGTTTTTTGGGTTGAAAATCTTCTGGTTTTTTTGAACTACAAAATACATACAGAGATGTGTTCATTTTGTGCTATTTTACTGTGCTTTGTACTTAAGACCTATATGTATATCTTGAAAATTGTTTTGAAATACCTGTCACCAATTTTTTAAAAATTCAGGAGAAGGTAAGTAGATTAATGTTCTCACATCCTTTTGTTATTGTAAAGACATTAAATAGTACTGTAATTTGTTTTTTAAAAGATGTGCTCTAATTCCTAGGTGAAACATGAAGATATTGAGTGTAAAACCTCCTAAATTAAGGTAAAGTAGAGAATTATTGAAAATTTACACAGAAGATAGAAAATAAGAAAATAGACCATGGGTAATGAAGAACATGCTATTGCATGTTGGTAAATCTAATCCCAACTTACCACTGTTATATTGAACATAAATTGGTAATAGCTCTTGTTAAAATCTAACATTGTTTGACTCCAGTAATTTTTTTTTCACAAGTTAAAACATTAGGATTAAAGTAAAATAATGAAATATAATCTCATGGCATTTCAACCTAGTAAACTGCCAACAGGACTGTATAATAGAGTTTAATGTAGGTTGTCATTATAATCATTGTAAGTGGTATTATTCTCATTTATTAATGTACAGTTTGCCAATACTATTGATGAATAACAGAAAATCTGACTAACAACTCACCATACGTACACATTCAGACACACAGACATGTATGAGTGTGTGTGTATTGCATCTTGATTTGTGGTCTAATGTGTGGTAAATATTTGAGTGGCTCTAATCTTAAAAATAGTATTTCTCTATTTTTGTGCCATAGGGTTCGATATAACAAGATTCATTATGTCAAATGAATTCTCTTCAAATTATTGAATCCTTAATATTTTACTACAGCTTCATTAGGTAAATACAGAGCTAGCTATATTGTAATTTTTCCTGTACTTGAG